GAAGAAGTCATATGTACATAAAGAGAACTGTCTGTATCTATATGCGTAATTCTCAATTTCTCATAATTCAATGAACAAAACCGATATGTCCAAATAAAATATATCGCTAAACGTACGGCGTTCTTAACCTACTTACATTTCTCCATGCGACCAAAGCATACATTACTCTATTTAAAGTAAATATGTATGCAGTGGACACTGAACATCTTTTAGTGAAATATTGTATATAGTGATATATTACTGCGGAAATTACTGATCAAAATATTCAAAAACCGATATATTTGTCAACATGAGCTCCTCCTTTGAATTTACTATATGAGTAAAGAGTTAAACACGTCCGAATTTATCATCATGATATAAGTGTTCGCGGCACATTTTGAATTTTGAATAGAGTTAATCATAAAACCAAAAGCATTAGACAAGACTTTTTGTTATAAATGTAAGCCATACTAAAAGGAAGTTAGGGAGGCTGGTTGCGCGGGAGTTGGGAGATTTTCAAGGTTTTCAAAAGAAAAGTTTAAAAAAGTTAGATTTTCAAAAAAGTTAAAAAAGTTAGATAGGGTTAGGATTAAGGTTAGGGGTTAGTGGTTAGGGTTGGGGTTAGGGTTAGTGTTAGGGGTTAGATGCCGCGAATTTACGATTATGATAAATTCGAAATGTGCCTTGAGTTTATCATAATGATAAGTTCGGACGAGTTTAAGAATTTACTCGAATAGTAAATTCAAAGGTGGAGCTCATGCGATATATTTGTATCATAATTAATAACCTACCTTTACTCTAATAAAATGTTCATTTAATTTATATTATCAGTATTGAGCACAGTTCTCTATGTTTCTGACCCAGCAGACTCCATTGTACGCTACATCGTATCTATTTCTGTGCTTGTGAGTTTAAGGTGGTGTTGATAAAATGTAGTGTCAGATTGACAAAAGTCACAGTCATTGAGGTTGTCATAGAGATTGTTAAGGTTAAGTAAGAAGTTCGCGTGTTAATACTCTGTCGAAAAATTGAAATAGCATTTTTGAGTGGATCGAAATGTTCTCAACTAAACTTAGCAAATTAGTCGATTCGCGCGGAATAATCGCTAGTTGAAAACCGGCTTTACGATATATTCAAAACAAATTAACTCTGATCAAAGTCAGCAGTACTTTAAAAGTCAGCAGTACTACAAAAGTCAGCTACTGAACGTTTGCCCTAGAATCGATTTTTTTACAATGGATGACTGGATTGATAGACAGTGCATCTGTTGAAATGCCAAAAATAGATACATTTGTGGCTAAATAACTACCGTAAAGGCTATATTATTCACTTCCACGTTTGTATTCTAGACTTTAATATTTGTATATTGTGCAATGAGATGCTGCATACTATTTATATTCGAACCTGTACGCAACTCCAATCGCATTATAAACTACTACACAGTCTATAAGCGCCATCGGACTCTAAAGCCGCAGTTATAAAAATATTCATTTTACAGATTACTTGGAAGGGCAGTCTTAATTTTCGTACTTAAACTTTTTTTGCGTTTATACACGTACTGCACTATGAAAATTAAGAGTGCCGTTCCAAAAAGGATTGTAGTTTAAACGGAGCTTTAATATTTATAGAATAGTATCATCAACGGCTACACAGGCATTTTTTACGGCTATTTCTCTTCTTAGAGCCTATATTATTGAGCGATTTATGTGCACATGCAGTAGTGTAAACATTGCAGGTTTCAAATTATCCCAGTCATTGTGCGGGTAGTTATGTACTGTTTAATAAACTCGCAGGTCGTGTTTTATTAGGTCTAAAGCCGCTCGCGCGGCTTCAAACACGACTACAAATGCAATAGATATACTGCCTTATTAGTATTCTTTATATAAGGAATACTAATGGGACAAGACTACAATAGATACTGCCTTATTAGAATCCTTTATATAAAGAATACTATTTAGGAGTGTTTTATCAGGTTTAAAGTCACTGCACGTGACATATTATGGTTGACATGATTTGCCAATAAGCTTATGAATTATTAATGAGTGTTTGAAAAAAGTTTACCAAAACTGTTTTATTGTCCCTGTATTGGTAATATATCACAAATACTAATAGTGTAAACACTATTAATATTAATAAGACACTAATTTCGAATTTTATCACGAATTCTGATTATTATGGCAGTCACTATAGAAATATCTCCTTTTGGCAAGACAAATGTACGCAGTGCGTATCTATTTTTATTTTTGAAACAAGTTTTTTTGAGAATTAAGAAAATTGGCTCTCGCAATTTTTTTAAAATGTTTTTATTTTAAATAACGTTACATTCCTTCATATGTGCAGAAAAGGAAAATATTTCATTGATGGAATAATTAAATTCAAGAAATCTAAGAAAGAATGCAAAAATACAACCTTTTTGAAATTACCTTATTGCCATAGAACCGAAAATGGCTAACAATAGTTTTTGCATTTTGTAATTCTTAGTGTCTAGGCAATGTGATGAGCGAGTTTCGTGAGAATATCTGGCAAAGTTAAGAATAATGGGTCTTTTATACACAATTGTACCCTATAACATTGCTTTATCTTGTTCGCACTGGACGTAAGTGTATTTCGTTTGGTTGTCGTCGTATTGTTGTGCTTGTTCCACACATCATTCTCTGAAACAGACTTTTGAAAGCCTCTCTGTACGTTTGGTCCAAAAGGGCATAAATTAATAGATTACACAGACTGTTAAAATAAGGAAGTGTGACTATTACTAATTCAGCTGTCTCCTTCCGACGCAAGTAGATTAATGATCTTCTATTCTTATCATACAAATTTGGATGGTAGTACCAAAGCAATGTATAAATAAAGAAAGGACCCCAGCAAAGTATAAACACTCCCACGACAATCAATAACATTCAGATAACCTTCAGATCTTGAAGAAAGGAACTTCGTTGGTTCTGATTATTACCAGTTTGACCCAATTCGCCATTTCGCAGCATATTTCGTCGTTTACGAACAACAACATAAATGAGAAAGTACATAATCAGTATGACTACGGTGGGTAGAAAAAACGCACTTACGGCCTGAAAAGTATAGAATCCTTTCGTTTTAATTATATCGGAGGGGCAATAACCGTCACTTACAAGGAAGATTCCCCAGCTTCCTGAATGAGGAGTGGCGGCGTAGGCGGCAAAGGCTGTTGAAATGAAGCAAACGATAAAGATGATGTTCAATGATCTGGAAGTTGTCATTGTCGATCTGTACTGAAGTGGTTTTCTCATTTTAAAGTATCGGTCGAAGCTGATGAACGTTAGTACATAAATAGATGTTGTTAACGTGAAGGCCTATTAACACTATAAAACGACATTGATGAATAGACATGGCACGTTTCGATTCAACATCGAGATTGCGTCGATACACATGTAGTGGTGCTGCAGACATACCAACCAAAAGATCAGCGACAGCCAGGCAAGTAATGAAATATTTATTTCGTTGATGAAGGATTCTTTCTATCCATGTTGCAACCAAAGCCATAGTATTGCCCAGAACGGTAAAAATGGCGAAAAAGATAAATATAATTGTCTCTGCTAATTTAAGCTGGTTCCGAAATTCCATTAATTTCGTCAGCTCACTCTCCGTCAAATTGTACATCACTGGGAAATTTGACCCTGGGTAATAGCCTAAATAAGAATAGTACACACTAATGTCATTAGTCAACGCATCGCGTTGCCGAATCGCATCCGGTCTGTTTGGGCCTTAACTGCTATCAATCTCGCGTCTGGCGCGATTTTTAACACTTACCTCAACCTTGATAATTCTGAATATAATAAAAACCTCATTCAATATATCTGTTTATTATTAGGGACCGGTCATAAAGTATTTACTAGGGGGTGTGGAGGATATTTTTTGGGGGTACGAAAAAACCCCTGAACCTCTGAGGGTGGTACGAAGAAAACAACAGAACCTCCAGGGGGGTACCAAAATCTTAATAGTATATAGGTACGGAAAAACATTACATTTTGCAATTATTGTTGAATATTGAATGTATTTGTGCCCAGATTTAAGTTTGGAAAGAATTGTTTTACTATATTATTATTAAATCAACACAAAGTATATTTGTTTCAGTCTGACTCAATGTCAGATGATAATTAGTAGGATTCAGTATCCGTGGAACTTTTGGAATACAAATCCGATACATCTGAATTGTCAATGACAATGCTAGCAAGCTCACACCATTAGAACCTGTTAATGATTGAAGGGGGAGGGGGAGAGTTAAGGAAATTGTCACTTACATTGAAGGGGGTTACGAAAATTTTTCCATAGGTTTTTGGGAGGGTATTGAAATATGTACTTGAAATTTCATTTATCCTCCACCCCCCTGTAGTAATTACTTTATGACCGGTCCCTTATCCCCGAGCCGACGGCGCGAAACGCCGTGCGAGGGTACTAATTCCCCCCGGCATTTTACACCCGGGGAACCGAAAGCATTAGCGAAGTCTAAAGTTCATCAAACATCGCGGGCATGGGTCACTGTGCGTGTGTGGTCATCCTCACTGATCTCAAAAATATGGCGGACTGTCATGAATAGCGAACACTGTGATTGGTCCAATTTAAAGTTTGCATTGTAACGACTGCATGACGACAGCGAAATAGCAAACATTTCTTGATTTGATGATGTTGATAAATTTCTTGCAAATATATTTCATTGTTGCTGGCTTTTTTTGCGAGCAACAATACGAGCAACAATGCAAGAAAGAAAGAGCGAAAGAATTGGCTAAAAGTAGGGAACCGACGTTAACGAAGGATTAAATATGTGGTAAGTTTGTTTTAAACAACCGTGGTTCAGGAGACTTTTAAAAGATAAAAGCTCTGTGACTGCGTTGTAACTGTTGTCTAAAATAGCTTCAAAAATCATTAATAATTCATGAGGAAAAAACACAAAAAAAATCATAAACGTGTATCTTTATATGTGATAGAGATTTCCCTTGATTTACATAAACTTTAACTTTAAATTTCTCAACACAACGAATTTTTTGAAAGCTATTTCGCCAATGAACTTATTCTAGATCGATCGTTTTTGAAGCAATTTAAAACATTCGCAGTGCGTGTTTTATCACCATCTTTATATCTGATAAAACACTGCTGCTCATACATAACATCTCTGCAAATCTCCCTAGTTGCCAAGCAATAAGCATGCATCATGATGCTAAATATAAATCTCGATTATGATTGGATAATGGGTAAATTCGAAGGTGCTAATTACAAAACGTCAATCATCCTTAATGGGCAAAAACAAATTTGTCATAGCCATTTGGGCAGGCGTTTCCTGTTTTCTCGCCAGTCAGCTAAACACCAGCGCATGCCATGGTGTTCGTCGAGGAATATTTGGAGCAGGGGCGGATCCAGACCGATGCCAACGATGCGAATGCATCGGTCAAAATTGAGAAATCATGTTGCTTGAAATAATATATAGACATATTATGCTGTCGTCAATACTTGGTCAAGCACTCAGTAATAGAATATCTTTGAATCTCTCCAGCTATCAAA